TATGGTTAACAATAAGGTTTACAAAAAAACTTGTGAATTAAGAGAGGCACTAAAAGTGGCGGTACGAGAGAACTTTAATTAAGTCGACCGGTCCTTCTATGAGAATAGGTAGTAATTCATTTTTAAAAAGATGCAACTCAAAACAATGGCGGATTTTTTGAACATTTTCTAAAATAACTTAAAGTGTATGCAGTGATATTATTTTTTAAGTTTTAGTTTGTGTAATGTAAATTGTAAGGAACCGTTTAGTAATGTATTCTAACTTTTTATAAGTTTTATAAATCATAATAGAATTTAAATACCATGCAATCCAATTGCAATTAATCAAGAAAGATCAGAATTGGCTATAACTAAATGTAACTTTTCTAACATGTCTTGAAAACCGTTCTCTAAAAAACGTAACATTCACCGGTTAACGTATCCTCGAAAATCTATGGTCAAGAAAAGTTGAACCAATAATCCTACACGCTCTTCTTCATTTGAAAAATTCATATTTACAATTTTTGCTTATTTTAATTTACAAAGTTTAGATGTGACAGCTTCAGATTTCCGAGAGCAAAGACGATTATACTTCTTTCCATGGCTAACTAAGTGAAATTGTTTAAAAATTATAGGAATTGGCTATAACTCAGTAATTTTTCGAAGAAAACCTAGTTTAGCTTATATCGCTGAAAAGCTTAAAAAATGGCGCTTTTTATGAAGTCATGGCCAACTATGGTTACAATTTAAAAAAATATATGTTTGTGTCATATGTCAAAAATGACAGGTTTTAGAAGAAAACGGAGGGCACAGTCTCATTAAGGATGTGATTATCTACAACTTTTATCTGAAAACTTTTTGTCCAAAACAGCTTATAATGGAGTTAGGGACAATTTTTAAAATAGCCGAAATTGTTTTTTTTCGAAATATCTAGTAAGCCATGAACTTATTCAAAAATCTGAAAGGCGCATATTTATAACCCCACAAAACTGCAATTCTTTCCCCATTTAATCGACTCTCTATCTCTAGTAGTTTCCGAGATACCCATAGAGAACATCGTAGGAAACTCACCGTGTATATACCCTACCAAAACCTTCTTAGCTCCATCTACGGTAACGTGGATGAATCAAGCATGTAAATCCTAATTTATGTCATATACTAACATACCAAATCTCGTTTCTTATCAGAAAATATGAAAAAGTTATAGGGGTGAACCACTTTTGAAAAACACCCGGTATATTATGATAATGGCCCTAGAAAATAATGGCTTCTCTATTATAAATTAGTAATATCATGGAGAAAATGCAATCGCAGTTTACTATAAAATGCTTCAATATACCACAAAATTACATTCGCAACTATATCGCAAATCCCAACTCCTAAAAACTCAAACTCGCAGATAGAACTCACGGTCCTAGTTAACAAAATCACAATCGCAACAAAATCGCAAATCGCAACGAAGTCGCAAATCGCAGCGATAGTAATACTAATTGCTTGAATTGAAACTTGGAAATAGAAGAAATCGCAATCGCAGTTTCCTATGAGAGCCAATCGCAGGTTCCGATTTCGATTTTAAAATCGCTGCAATTGAATCGCAGTTTGCGATTTCTTGCTCATCTCTAATAATAACCCCCTTGACTATTCCAATTAGACATACTACGGCTTACTTCGCGAGTAGTGTAGAAGCCATTTAAAAAATATCTTTTATAATTATTTTATTTTTTGTAGCAGGGCAAAAAGAAACCAATTCCGATTAGACTGAAATCGGAAGCGTCAGGTAGTACAGTGTATTTTAAAATGAAAGTACACCTCGAAATGTCTACCCTATTCAGATTTATAGCTAAATAAGGTTCTAAAATACGTTGGGTTAAGTAAAAACCCTGTCTTAGATTTAAGTAAACTAACCTGGATACATTGTAGTACCTCCGGAAAGTACCGTGTTAGCATAAAGATCCTTACGAATATCAACATCGCACTTCATGATAGAGTTATAAACAGTCTCGTGTATACCACAAGATTCCATTCCCAAAAATGAAGGTTGGAACAATGCTTCTGGGCACCTACAGATTTAATTCAAGCATTATCAGTAAATTCAAATAATTAGTTGGATATTTTACCTGAATCTTTCATTACCGATGGTAATAACCTGCCCGTCGGGAAGTTCATAGCTCTTTTCCAGAGATGTTGAATTAGCCGCAGTGGCCATTTCTTGTTCAAAGTCCAAAGCAACATAGCAAAGTTTTTCTTTAATATCTCTGACGATTTCCCTCTCTGCCGTTGTGGTGAACGAGTAGCCTCTTTCAGTCAAGATTTTCATCAAGTAATCAGTTAAATCATGACCTGTAAAAATAGAATGAAATTAAATCCAGCTTTTCCATATTGTTATTTATACTATGTTGTTCTTATCAAAAATTGCACTAATTTACCACAGATTTCAACCATTTTATGTTATACTCGGAATGAACGTTTCGCTAAAGTCAGTTTTTAATTATAACACGTTATAATAAATTTAGTAAAATGCGTGCATCTAGAGTATAAAACGATTGTTTTGGCATAAGGCTATCTATAGATCCTGTATTACTTAGGTATTTGATTTAAATGCAGACCTAAACCAAAGATTAATAGCTTTGCCTAAACTGTGTACTAGGACGTATTTCAGGAAAATATTTTCACCTCTTCAAGGTATACTAAGGGTTGGCAAATGTTAGTCTTGGGTCGAGATTTCCGTATATAAGGAGAGTACAATGAGTTTATAATGTACTGAACAAAGAGAGTATAGTAAAAACGTTGCCAAACATATGAAATAAACCGAGAAACTGTGCACATTGCTAAGAGACGTAGAAGGGTAAATAGTAGATTCGTCGCGGTCTTTTCACCGGTCGCCCCAATGAGTACCATATCAGAGACCATATCAGTACTTAAAATTTTAGGAAAGAGTGTACATCATGCTTCCAACTTCACGATTTAGTTACATCTCGTGATACTGTATTTGTTTATTTATTAATATGTCGTTGTAATTTTCCCTATAGCTTGTAAATTTTTAAGTGCAAGTTAGAAAAACCTACGCTTTTGGTAAAAATAAGTGGAATTGAGTTGATGTTCGACAGTGGCCGCGCTATTAGAACTCTGAATTTAAAAATTGATATTTCGAAATCCATTAGAAATAATTGATTGTATTTTTTTCCGTAAACTTTCTTAATATTTTTGCTATATTTTTTTCGCCGACACTATGTAAAAATCTTTATAAATAAAAAAGTTACACACGATTGCTGAAAATTGCAATGCCCTAAAATTAAATGGATGTTTTTTTTTAAATTTTGAATGAAAAAAAAACAAGCCTATCGAATTTTTCTTATTTAAACGTCTTGTAAAAGATCCGAATTTCAAAATAAAAGAAAGGTTGAATATCTAGAGTAATTCTTGAGTTATCACGTGATATATGTTAAAAAGTTGAGTTTTTAAATTATCGCGATTACTGACGTTTTCTCGTTATAAAAAAATGGACACCCTAACGATATCGTTATAATTCCATTTCAGATGCTCAGAAACATATCTAATGATTTTATCTAGTTATCTTTTCGAAAATAAAAGTCTTTTAAAAATAATCGGTTTGTGATCGTTATTTTACTTTACTTGATAGAGAAAGGCGTACCGGAGAAATGTGGCAACGCTGCAACAGCACATCATCGCATTTCTCTCACTCCGACTTAATAAGATCCCCATGTGATTTACTTCCACACATGTAAATACCGATCCAAAAGTAAGAGTTGTCACCACGGTATAAAAAAAAGAGTGAGTAGATAATTTTTTTTTGTATTATTGCATTTTTGGGTTCCTTCCTGGTCACATAATCCAAGGTTATTATTACATTTTCTTTAATAGTAAGAAGCAAACTAAAGAAGTAAATAAATATATTTGACAGCATTTTTAAAAAATATCATTAAAAGAAATGTTAAAATATTTTCCTGAAATATATCCTTATTTCTAACTTTTTTATTATATGAGTTACAGATGCCCGACGCATTATAGCCAAACCCTATATAGTTTAGCTATACACTTACACGAAGTTCTTATGATCTGTAGAGACCAGAAATGGTCTGATACACTTACAGGGTGGCCCATCGAAAACGTTCCGCAAGGCATAACGGTCAGGGTATTTATTTTTTCAAAAAATCCAAAAACACGTCAATTTTGTTTGTGAGGGGGACAACTTTTGCCCCAAAAATGATTGCAAAATCTTCAACCCTCTAAGCGGGGGTGTCATCCCCCAACTTTTTTCAAATGGAAGGGGGTCAAGTGGCGCCACTAATAAAAGAGCTTTCTATTCTCTATATTTCCCCGCTTCGTTTTTTGAAAATCGGTCGAGTCATTGAGAAAATATGAAGGATTGAAATTTGAAAAGTTTATCTAAACATTTATGAGAGTAAATGATAATTAAGGATAAATTCATTCGACCAATTTGCTGTTTTTTCTTATTATTTCTAGATGTTTACGCATTTTTTCACTTGCCACAACGTTGAACGATCAGGTGCGGTAGTTGCTAGATAGGTGTTCTGTGACTTGTGCGTTGAAGTTCTTCTCAATATCGTTAAACTGACCTACAATGGAATTTCCAAAAATACCAGCCCACACGTTCAATTTTTAAGGGTTTTGTGTGTGCACCTCGTGAAAAACCCTGCGGTTGTCCTCAGCCCAGTACCGACAGTTGTGCCGATTAACTACACCGCTCAAAAAGAAAGTACACTCATCCGAAAAACACACATTAAATAGGAAATTATTATCATTCGCCACTCGTTCACTCATAGTTTCACAAAATTGCAAACAACGATCAAAATCGTCTTCGTTGAGTTCTTGTACCAACTGAATTTTTTACGGGTGGAACTTGTGTTTTTTTAATATCCTATGGAAACTTGTACGATTCACGCCGGTCTCATTGGCTAATTTTCTTGTACTCAGAATACTGTCCATGGCAACTTGGCCCAATACGAATACCTCCATAGCTTCATTTACTACAGGATTTTCCCTCTGCCTCTTTTTATTCACACCGGAACCAGTTTCGCGATATTTTGCTACTAACTGGCGAACAATTTTACCATAAAGGTGTTTGTCAGGATGGAGTTCATTGAATATCTGCGCAACCCGATTGCAAACATCTAGAAATAATAAGAAAAACAGCAAATTAGTCGAAGGAATTTATTCTTATCATTTACTCTGATAAATGTTTATATAAACTTTTCAAATTTCAATCCTTCATATTTTCTCAACGACTCGACCAATCTTCAAAAACGAAGCAGGAAAGCATAGAGAATAGAAAGCCATTTTCATTTCGGTACCACCTGACCCCCCTTCTTATTTGAAAAAAAATTGGGGGATGATACCCCCGCTTAGAGGGTTGAAGATTTTGCAATAATTTTTAGGGCAAAAGTTGTCCCCCTCACAAACAAAATTGACGTGTTTTTGAATTTTCTGGAAAAAAATTACCCTGGCCGTTATGCCTTGCGGAACGTTTTCGATGGGCCACCCTCTATAGTAGTATCCTGTATTGTGATAAATTAGTGTTTCTTTGCTGTTGTAAACCTAAAGGTTTCAATGTAAATTATATTGTTCTTACCAGCCAAGTCGAGACGTAGAATAGCATGAGGAAGAGCGTAACCTTCATAAATAGGTACTGTATGAGAAACGCCATCTCCTGAATCCAGTACTATACCAGTGGTACGACCAGATGCATAAAGGGATAGTACAGCTTGAATGGCCACGTACATGGCGGGTGTGTTGAAGGTTTCAAACATGATTTGAGTCATTTTCTCTCTAAAGTTGAATTGTGGAATTGCATTGTCAATATTCCAGAAATCATTTGACTTTAATCGAAACTTACCTGTTGGCCTTGGGGTTAAGTGGTGCTTCAGTCAATAAAATAGGATGTTCTTCTGGAGCGACGCGAAGTTCATTGTAGAATGTGTGATGCCAGATTTTTTCCATGTCATCCCAGTTAGTGATTATACCATGTTCGATTGGGTATTTTAGTGTTAGAATACCTTAGAAATGAAAATAATAATGAAAAAAGCAATAATAAGATGTGCACCATGTTTTCGACATTTTATTGTATTTTCTAAATGTGCAAATTAATTATTACTGACGGATTTAAGTAAA